AGAATCGTTTAATTCGAATTCATTTACTTTGTACATCTCGAACTCTTTATTAGAAGACATCACAGACGTTGATCTTCAAGAAGAGAAAATTCAGCAATATCATGAGATTAAAACCTCTCATATAGGAATCACTGAAAATATTGCAGCCTTAAAGAAAAGATGATCGAGAAAGACGTACAGAATTATGTCAAAGTATGCGAGATATGCAGTAAAATCAAGTATGAACGTCAACCATACAAAATCATATTCAAACCAACACCCATTGGTATGAAACCCTTTGAAGATATTTATATTGACACGTATGTAATCAATAACCAGAAATTTCTGACCATTATTGATAGTTTTTCAAAATTTGGTCAAGCCTCTCTTATAAATACGAGAACAGCTGTTGAGTTCATCACAGTTATTGAAATATTTTAGTGATCATGGAATACCCCAAAAAATCACAACAGATAATGGAGCAGAGTTCAAAAATGCTATAATGACAGATCTTTGTACATTATACAAAATTGAGTTTCATTACACAACTCCAAGAAACCCGAACTCGAATAGTCCAATCGAAAGATTCCATTCGACACTACGTGAAAGTATAACGAGTTTAAAACTCCAAAACCCGAATAAGAGTATTATTGATCTAATGACAATCGCTATATGGAATTATAACAACAGTACTCATAGTACAATGAATCACACCCCTTTTCAAGTGATTAAAGGATATTTGAATTATGCCATACCAATTGAACAAACGAAAAATAAACTAACAACTGACTATATAACAAGTTTGGCAGAATCCCTTGCGAATTTGAATAAAGAAATTCAAGAAAAATTATTAGCGAAAAAAATAAAGTCTTTAGAATCACGTAATAAAAATCGTGAACCTGAACCAGAATTACAAGATCCAATCTTTGTAAAACAAATTAATAGAGACAAGATAAGTCCGCGTTATGATAGCAAAACACAGAATCGCTTTGCTAAACGAAATGTTAACCGACAATAATTTATTTCAGGTACTCCGAGATGAATCCTTTATTATTTCTAACTCTCGTTGGAGTCACCCAAGCGTATACATTGATGACGGTAGAAAATCCTATTTTACCAATTTCTTTAGGAACTACTTACGTAACAACTCAACATTACACGGCCTATTATCACATAAACACGACAATCATCTTACAAAGTATCCATAAACTGGAAATTACCTTAATGAAATTATCTGACACTCTTAACAAAACAACATGGTCAAACCAATTTGTTGCACGGTTTCAAACAAATATTGAAAACAGTCATCCTCAAATTAAGATTATGAAACAAGTAATCAGAACCTATCAAGACCGAAAACGTAATAAAAGAGGTCTATTTTTCATGGGCACAGCACAAAAATGGCTCTACGGAACCTTAGATGCTGAAGACGGCGCAAGATATGATTCTTATATCCAGACGCTCAATGATATTCAACAGACTCTCAATGAAGATCTAAAAACACAAGCTCAAGTATTGAAACAAGTTACTAAAACATTTCACGATCAATTTTTAACTATTGAATCTAACCAAAAGGTTATCACAGGAAAATTACAAAATATTTCCTTGTAAAACCAAAATTTCCACTCAATGTTAACTTTTAATCTAATAGTGAACAATATCAATATTCAAAGTAATAAAATAAGGAATCTTATTGATCATGTGCAATTAACAATAAATTTTGCACAATTAGGAATAATGCATTATACTATTTTACAGCATAATGAATTAAATCAAATATTAACAAATACACCCAAAAGTCAGCAAATACCTTTTGATAATAAAATCAAGTATTACGACACAATGAAAACTCAAGTAAAAATCCAAAATGAGTTAATTATATTTGTTATACACACACCAATGATTGATCCCAAGCCCTTTATATTGTATAAAATCTATCCAATTCCTATCCAAGAACTTACCATTAGGAATAAGTACCCTTACCTTTTACTTACTACTGACATTTACTACAATACTTTATGGGAATGCCCGAAAGTCGAAAGTCTGTACCTTTGTAACCAAGAAGAGCTGAAGCAGGAAGAATCATGTGTCTATGACCTGATTACTGACCTACCACAACAATGTCCTTTCACTAAAGTGAAATATGAAAAACCAAAAGTGAGACAACTCCCGAAAAGACAACTATTAGTCATTCCTAAGAAAAGTCTGACGATAGTAAATTCAATGTGATAAGACAAACCATATGGAAATAATAACCAATCCAACGCTAGTTTCTTTTGAAAAATGCTTTGTGAAAATACAAAATGAAACATTTTCAAAAACCAGCGAGAAATTCAATTTTGAACTGAAGATTCCAAAAATATAGACATCCCTGAACTTCCAGAGAATGAAACAACATTGGAACTTCAAGAAATCAACCAAGAAGACTTAGAAGAAGCCTTCAAGACGACGAAACAGATAAGAGTTGACAATCTAAAAGAATTGTCTTTTGAACACTCTTATTTAAACACATATGTAATCATAGGTTTAAGTCTTGCTATTTTATTTTTAATTTTATTGTTTTACTGTTTTAGGAAGTTTAAAACTTCAGAAAAAGGTTGTGCGAATGTGCAAATTGAATTGTCTGATTTGAATTCACAACAATCCACGTTTGCAACATCTTAAGGAGAGAGGAGTTATATAAACCAATTGCCACGCTGATTTTTTTTTTTCCTCTATGACTTTTTAAATAAATTGTTGTAAAGTAAACAACAAACTGCTATATCGGCATTAAATTATTATTTAAGCCAACGCAGTCCCATAAGGAAGGTTAATTTGTTTTCTGGCTTTTGCCTGTAGCAATTTGATCCACGTATTTTCTTTTGTCACCTCTGTATTTTAATCAATAAAATAAATATTTTTTAAAATACAAGTTTCTGAATCGAAAATATAATTAACATAATAATAATTATTACTTATTAATCGAAAATTTCTATTTTAAGTTAATTTTTTAGTTTTAGTATTCACCTTGTTTATAAATTGTTATTTTGTCAATTCCGTTTTGGACCTCGGTCTGTTGGCATTCCTGTTATATTAAATAAATAAATAAATAAATAAATAAATAAATAAATAAATAAATAAATAAATAAATAAATAAATAAATAAATAAATAAATAAATAAATGAATAAATAAATGAATAGATAAATAAATAAAAAAATAAAAAATATTGTTCCTACACTTAGCCACGCCTACCGATGCCCTTATCTATTGCACTATTCAAATGATGGCGTCTCATTATCATTCTACCTCAATGGATAAAACCAATCGAACCGAAATCCGATGGCCGATAGTTATTTTGTCATTTGGTTAACCAGATTTCGGAAAACCATTCGGACTAGAGATGGGTTGTTATTTAACTATCTGTTATTTTTAAGCTGTTATTTAGAAATAACGGTTGCAACTGTTGTTTCAGTTCAAAAATAACAGGTGAAAAATAACGTTCAAATAGAAAAAGGTTTATCCACTCAGGTGTTAAAATAACACCTTTTAAACGTAACACTGGTTGTTGTTGTCGTTGTTACAGATGTTAAGCGTTAATTTTATAAATATTCGTTCATGGCATTTGGCAAACGCAACTCGGCTTGGCTCGATTCTCTTCGCTGGCAGCGGAAGCTGAGCAGCTGGAACGCTGGAACACAGGCACGTGCGTTCTCTGACCACACTTCCCACTTTTTCACGCTTTAGCCGTTACCGCCTACTTTTGGCACTGCTTGAATTAAGTTCCAAATACGTCATAACCGATCGATAATCGTTTAACTGCAACTCTAGCACGAGAAGTTAAAAATAACGACAACCTGTTATTTTAAGCTGTTATTTAAAATTAACAGTAACAGTTGTAACTGTTATTTGAAAATAACGGTTTTTCCCATCTCTAATTCGGACCTTAGCCCTAATGCCTTATGTGAAAAAGTAAAATCCGTATCTTATTTCAGATGATTATCTCGTCCGCCTACACGATTAACAGAAAAGACATTTTCTTGGAGAGGAAGCTGGAGAGCAATCAATTTCTTTATTTTTATTTTATCAAGTTGCAGTGGTAGGCATTACTCATGATGTATTAAAGAAATTTTAATTGAGAGATTCAATCCTTAATAATTTGAAAGAAAACTTTTAGCTGAGTTTTCTAAAAAAAATCAGAAGGCCATGAAGCAGATAATTGAATAATTCCCTAGAAAAAAGAAGCATCTAGATTTGCAACTGTTAGCTTGCTGAAATATAGGTAACATAGGAATTACTTCAGTTGTTAAAGTAAATTAGTTTTATAGAAGCAAAACAACCTTCTAATGGTAACCAGATAATTTTCATTACATCATCATAATGCGATAAATATTTGCAAATACCTACCCTGTTACCTGTTTCAATAAGTTAGTACCTACCGACAATAAACCTCAGTTTGCATCCCAGGAGTTTAAAAAATTCCTGCAGGAGTGGAATGCCAGAACGTTGCCTTCAATACCGTATTTTCCACAAACGGACAGATTAGCAAGGAAAAAATTATGTGCTAGAAGGAATACACTTATGACTCAACAGAAAGTCTGTCTCAAAAAAAAAAAAAAAAAAATTTGGTCTCGTATTATGAGATCTCTAGTACCTAAGAATGGGAAACGGAAATAATTATTGAGTATAATTTGAACGGCCAAGATTTACATCCAATTCCGGTATGAAACGGAGATACAATAGACCTGACGACTGTATCAAAAACGTTTAAGTTTATTTTTAGGTCTTCGATGAGATCGTCTAAGAAAAAAAATATTTTGTGTTTTTGGGACTGGGGATGAGTTTGCCTTCAATATTAATTAGGATGTAGCTTTTTTTTCAGCTGAATCAGAAATTATTATTTAAACCACAAATGGTTTTTGAACATTTTATTGGAACTTGCGTTAGTTTGAAACGACGGAACAATTTACCTTTTCAATCGTAATCATTGGATTTCATTCTAATAAGTCACCAACACAAATTTTCATATATATTTTTTTTTCAGTCGAAATAGAAGGTCTAACTAAATCACTATCCTCCCATGGAAACGACAGTGAAATAAGAAACGTCACTATAACCTACACCCTCTGGATAGGTTCGAACATGACTGAAAATTGCACCATATCGATAACCGCTCCAAGAAACACGTCATTCTATTCGGTCATGCAAATGGCAATGGAAATGGACTCGCACTTTGCTTTTGAAGCTTCCGAATGGCCCAACGGTCACTACGTGCACACTTTAGCCGGTTACAAAGAAGAACCGATGGGTTATAACTACTGGTTGTTGTATCGATTACCGGAATTACCCGATCCGTCTGCTCCTCCGGCCAATCAGCTTGTAGCTCCGGTTGGTAAGTATTTTTTATAAGAAACTAATGGACGAAAAGATACTTTTAAGTTCAGGATGTAATAGAATATCAAACTAAAAAAAAGTTACATCATGGATCGTGGGTTCACTAACGCTTCGTTCTTGATTATACAAAACGACTAGGCTATAAGTCTGTTAAGTCTCGAATAAAAAAACATTCTTTTATAGTCCAGTAGCGTTTATATATAGTAAATATATTTTTTCAGGTGTGGACGATTTGCTAATCGAAGAAGGAGACCACTATTTGTTCTGGTATAAGAAATTGTAAAATCATCTTTTTCTGTTGTAAGTTCAAAGCACAAAATTAGCAAAACCTTATCTTTCCATTATCACAATGTATGAAGACAGCGTTGCCAAAAGAGTGTAAGATTTTTTATTAAAAAAGAAAATTCTATGGTTATTTCATGCCTTTTAAAAACTAATTAATTTTAGCTATTCAGCGTAGGCATACCTACTTACCTAAATGTAGTTATTGTTTATTTATTCTCCCATAAACTTGTTTAAGGTCTTTTTGTTTTTTTTTTTTTTAAGCAAAGTTGCTTCTTCCACTTAAAATATAGGAGCTAATGGTTTACCACAAATCCAGAGTGTCCCAATATAAAGTGACCTATTTTAAATGAATATACAAGTTATAAGCATTTAAAATAGGTCACTTTCTATTGAGATACCCTGTATATTAACCACTGTGAAGCAGGCTTTAAATTTATATTACTGAAATTTAAATGTAAACTAGTCTAAGAATGTAATGGCTGTTATACCTAATATTTAACCATTCGCTTGGATTTAAATTCGCCGATATGTCGGGAAACTTGAATATTTTCCGCAATTGTCACGTATCTTGTTGAAATTTGAATTACCTATACGAATTTCATTTAAGTTAAACACCACTTTCTTTGGAAAGATAATTTCAAAATCATGCATACATTTTCTTGGCCATATCTTGACAATAGCGAATACAAAATAAAAATGAGTTGATTTTCAGAAAATCCTACTATAAAAAGTGTATAAAATTTAAATTACCTATGTGTTTTGGACGGACAATACTCCTTTCCTAATATTGGTATTTTCTTCGGTCATATCTAATCTAGATGTCTAGCTTTAAAATACCTAAATAAAAGAAAAACAATTGTTAAGCATTTGGGCAAAATTTAGTAATTATTTTTTCTATAATAATTATTATTAGTATATTTACATGTATTTCAGCTTCTCGTATGATGTATATTGTAAAATGCAGTTATTGAATAAAAATATTATTTGAGTTCTTTATTTATTTTTTTTAATAGAAAATCAAGGTTTAATAATTTATGTTCAGCGTTTCTAACATAATGCATGAGACTAAAGAGTGGGTAATTGCAAGTAAGTGTCCATAAAATATCATTGACTGTTTGTTTTTATATAAAAGCCCTTTAGGTCTGGATGACTTGGAGAGCCATCAAAAATGTGTACATTTAGGTAGGTACGTTTAATATTGAAAGCTGTATCAGAAAAAATAGCTATTTATACAATAAGTTACGAAATGAGGGTCTTTTAGGCACGCGACGTGAAAATTGTCCGAGGCAAAGCCGAGTTGGACAACACGTCGAGTGACTAAATGACAACGTTTCGTAACGTATTGTATACAAGATTTTTTCTACTGGCTTTTCATAATGAGAAAACACAATTTTATTTCATGTGAATAAGCCGATTACGCCCAAAATCTTTGCTACCTGCTTTTGCTTGACACCTGAAACTTTTCATGCGATTTTTTTTCAAGATTCGACATCAATAATTAAAATCCTAGAAAATAGGTAACTACAAAAAGTTCTGTTTTGAGTAACCCAAACATTCAATTCAATAATTCAATTTTTAATATTCATAATAAATACAGAACAAAATTCAAATCTGTGTTTAGTGTGTTTTTTATTCCTGAACAATGGATGACACTTTTAGGCACTAGTGCTTAAAAATCACTTTTACGCACCTAAAAGTCACTTTTACGCATCCAAAAGTCACTTTTACGCATTGAGTGTTTAAAAGTAACTCTCACGTACTCAGTGCTTAAAAGAATGTCGTTTTGAAACTAAAATGACTATCAAAAAGTTGTTATTATGAAACGTCAGTAGAAAAATATATATTTATTCACTCACACACAGAACTAGCCCATTTCAGTTGACCATAATGGTACAAAAATTAAGTTAATTCTCTGTAAAATTGTTGATTTATTCGCAAGTAAACTAAGTCTATGGTTTACATTCTAGCCAATGGTAAAGTATTCTATTAAAGGAAGGGTATTAAAAGACAATTCTTCTGAAGTCAGTTAAGTCACCAAGAAACTGGTTGTATGAGATGCCATAAAGATCCAAATTTTCTGAGTTAGCAGCTCGTGTTAATCGAGTGATGGGAGAGTTGAAGCTCTAATTTCTCCTATGGAAGGGTAAATAGATAAGTATTGCATGTGAGCGTGTGTTTCACGGAGGGACATGGAAGTTTAGCCTTTGAAATAGATGTGGATCGTAGGATCTATAATTGATGATGTTAAACAAAAGTTTCATATCCTGTTGTCTCCGGCGTATTGATAGGGTGTTCATGTTAAATGATTAACTCTCTAAAGCAGCATAGTCAATCTGCTCACTAGGTATGTTTAGTTTATATGCTGCATATCAAAGAAATTTATGCCGGGTTTGTTTGATTTTTGTTGCGGAAATAACCCACAACAGGTTTAATTTTTATTATTTCTAATTAAATATAATTTCAATCTCTATTATTTACCATAAAAATAATATTCAAAAAAATAGATGCAATTGCTGGACTATTTATCCTGTAAAACCGGCAACAACAACCCTTTGAACTGGTAAAATTGCAGGTTTTTTCATTACCTTATAAGGTAATCCTGTCTCGCCGCTTTGATTGGTCAGCCGCCACACAAAATCCCTAGTTTTTGCGGCCTGCTCCCCTGGCAGAGTCTAATCGACGCACATTCTTCAGTAACATTAAAATAGGCGAAGAGTTCGCGCCCCCTGATGCTCTCCAGAAGCAAAACACCCGTTAGTACGCGCGATTTATAGTAAAATACTACTCTCTGTGTCTCAAGACCTGACATGGTCTATATTATTGATTACAATTTATATAATTAACACCTAATTGTTGCAAGACACCTCGGACGAGCAAAATTCTCTCGTACGCGCTTGTCTTTTGGCTCTCTCTCACTCTCGACGGGCTTCAACGCACCTGTATAACGTTGTGTTTTCATCTCAGTAAAAAATTCCCTAGCTGCCAGTGTTAATAGTGATAAATGGATAAATAATCGCCTTGTGGATTTATCTGCATGAATCGGATTAAGCAAGTAAGACCGTTACAATTTCTCTTACAGTCAAACAATAAATACTGATCAGTGATTCGCTTGAAATGCACTATAAATTGAAGTGTTTTCTAACGTTTAATGCAGAAACTTGGTTTTCACACTCATGAAATTAACATTTGTACATTTATATATAAAAACTGAGCATATATAAAGACTTTTCTTGCACATATTGTTTACCGACTTTCGTAGAAAAGTGTTCAAATTGTTAATTCCCAATACATCAAAGAACTTTCAAGGATCAATAAACATTTTGTGATTGCTCTGAACTGATTAAAGTTGACGAATTATTTATTTTGTGCACTCGTGCATTTAATTAGTTAATTTGTGTTCTCGTTCATTGAACATTTAACCATAAATGATGTTATTATCATTATCAGATTTTCCTACTTTTTATAAATCAAGATTACTTTAGATTCGTATAAAATTTGTAGTTCGACTGAACGTCCAATTAGGAATTTTAAGATAGGATTTGATTGATAACCATACTGAATTACTTTCATTTGAAAAATTGATAATTATTCTATTTCAGCGTTTTATTTGTATAAATGAGAATCAAGGCACCCCTAACCCAATACGAGACTTAAATGATCCAACACCTAATGGTTAATTTTTACAGTCAGTCAAAGTAAAAACTTTTGGCATCCCTGGTGCGGTTTGACTAAAGCCCAGAAAGGAGCAATAGTCACAATTTTATTTATGTGGACTGCATAACGTCAGACCCAGAATGGATCTCCAATGATCTAGCATTCGGTTCTTTCCTCATCTGTCCATTTTTTCGGAGCGTGAAAGTATTAAAGCGCCTTGCTTCGCGAGACGGTCTGCCACCTTGTTGCCCTCTAGGCCTCCGTGTCCTGGCACCCACTAGCTGCGAATTGCACTTCAGTATGTAAATATGCTCTCCTAAAAGGCCTCTTTTAAGGCACAGATACTTATGGCCAGTACCTCAGCTTGAAATATTGTGGGCGTTTTACCCAGACAGAAGAACAATACTCCAAGTGCGATCTAACAAGCTTCAAACTTTCTTGAGCCCTTTTTTTTCAAGATGCTCTTTTTTGGTTTGAATCCTAATTTCCCTCCTTAAAGTTTTTAATTCAATTCGCTCTGAAATACCGACTCTGCCTCTCATAATCAGAGTGTGCGAATGATTTTTCCCCCTGACTTTACAAACCAAGTCCGTGGAGTACCAAGTAGGATACCGATGAGTGTGTGTTCTCCCTTATTTCATATTTAGGAATGGATAAGTCTATCCACTCCATCAGTTACATTAGTGCATGTCAGCACTTGGGTCCATCCACAATCCCCGAGCAACTCGTATAACAACCCATAATTGCCCTTAGAATAGTCATGTTTAAACTTTTTTTGTATATAATTTGTGTTAATATCTGATTTTCCAAAAGACATCCCGACAATGAGAGCTGGATGATAAGGATCCTCAGGCAATAGAGGGCTGTCCGACGAGCCAATACACGACAAGCATAATATATTCGACAATACCAATTCTAGATATCTACATATACAAAACTACTGCCTCCTCAACATATTTCTCAATAAAATTATACACTCCACGTTGACTATACTGAAAGGAATTTCTCTTTTGATGGCAAGAAGTACACCTCCCCCCATTAATTTTCTTGTGTCCCTATCTTTTCTGACCACTACATACCTGTGATCAAAAAATTCCATGTCATAAAATTCATCATTCATCCATGTTTCAGTGAGGCCAATGATGTCATACTCTTCTTTTATCCTGACTTTTGGTAACTTTCATGGATGCATACACCGCCGGATGTTTAGACTGATGCATCTCGCAGATCACATCTGAAAAGTTAGCACTTAAAAACTCTTTCAATTCATCTGGCTTAGTAGAAGGTTTGAGTCGAGAGACATGAAGGGATACCTGCTTCCCTGAATATTCGCACTAGACTCCTCTTTTCCCACTAAAAATTTTCTATATAGCGGTAGTAGTGATGTTTAACCTGCTCCCAGTCTGCTCCTTTTTCGTGCTTTTCAGGGCTCAAATCCTGTACCTCTTTCATGATTTCACTTTACTGGGCTTGTAAAACTGCCGTCTTCACAGCATTCGCGTCAATAATCCTTACCATGATTAGTGCTCCAATTAGAGCTAGAAAAAGTCCGGCATGTTTAGTATTGTTGTTTACTTTTTTTGGCAGTGACGCTTTATCATGTTTTTGTTGATGAAAAGGTTGACTTTGCATTCTCCGATCGATTTTAGTGGCTTCTGAGCAAGTAGTGGGCACATTATTATCTAGTTGTTTTTCGTATATGCTGTTTACCTTTTTTTGAAGTTCGTTGGAATACTTCAACTCTGATGATAGTTCCTTTGCCAATGAAATTTCCCTGGTGAGACATTAGCTACCAATATCATCAATTTGAAAGAAAAATATAAAGATTTACGTTTCCAGAAAACTAATTAAAAAAATTGAATGATTAAAAAAATTCTATCAATGAATATGGTCAATCTCTGCAAAAAATAGATTTAAAAAAAAACACAAGTTTTACCTGTATAGAAAAGATCAAAGGTTGGGCTATAAGAAATGGTCGACTTGAAGGAAATCCTCCGTTATATAAGTTATAAGAGCCCGGGTTAAAAATTGATCAATTTTCGACGGCAAGCTATTATCCAAGAATTCAAATTCAGAATATGTTGTCCAACCTTGACTTTTATTCAGATCACTTATTGATAAAATTGATAAAATATGTGGCAGTATCAGAAGTTATGCTAACATAGTAAAATTAATAAACTAATAACCAACGCCATTGTGTCAAGAATAAATTTGTACAGTGTCATATACAATAAAAAATTATCATTGCTTTGTTAATAAACTGTAAAAATGATTTTAAAAATTTTAAATTAAGAGTTATTAGTGAAACTTATACAATCCTCCATTCGAACATAAGGCAGAGC